ATTGTTGCCATCACTATCATCACCTCATTTATCATTAGTACGATACATAAGCCGACGAAATGAACTGTCGACGAAATAATTTTCGACGAAAGGAACTTTCGACGAAACAAACTTTCGACGAAATGGGTGTCGACGAAATGATTTTCGACGAAGTAAACGGGACCGGATTGCAAAATATTCTAACGAACGTTTTATCAAATATTCAATAGTTTGTATAACAATAAGTAAGTTTTAAGGACAAGCAAGATCTATGAAGCTTGCAAAGTATTCTAACGAACGTTTTATCAATTATTCAATAGTTTGCACAAGTTTTAAGGACAAGATCTATGAAGTTTGCAAAATATTCTAACGAACGTTATCAATTATTAATAGTTTGTGTAGGAGTAGTCGAAGTAAGCTTTAAGGACAAGATCTATGAACAAAATATACTAACGAAGGTTTTATCAATCATTCAATTGTTTATATAAATTTATCTTTTATTTTAACTTATATTTAATAACATCACTATAATCCATTATTATTGTTGTTTATTGTTCTAATCATTTACATATGTGTAAAAGAAAAATTTATATATTTAGCACTTGACGATCTTCAAAAATCATGTGACTGTAAAATTTTTTGATTGGAAATTTTTTCTCAAAATTGGCGGTGTGGCACAGAAAGTTGTGGGACTTGCATTATATGCAAATTGACATCATTTTTATATATATATATATAAAATTTTAAAATTTGACACATTCTTTTTTGAAATTTGGCCACGAAGCGCAGTAAAGGAGGTCCCGCACCATATTAGATACAACTTGCATTAGAAAAACATATAGTAAACATTGCTTATCGGCTTAAAATGAAAATAAAATGAAATTTTTTTAAAAACAATACAGTTTTGTCAAAATATCACATTTTTAAAATTTGGTTTTTGAGTTTTTGGTGAAATTTGGCAGTGTGACGCAATAAATGGTGGTTATAGACTTCGTGCACCATACGAGATTAAAACAAGAAGTTTATAACGTTTAAAGTTGTATAAATATAAGAGCTTGTGAATAATGAGCATAACATTCATAACATTTGAAAATAATATTTTTTATATTTTTTATGATTTAATTTAATTAGGATTAAATTTGTGAAATTTTTTGGTGTGCGACATAACGGTTTATTTTTAAATATTAATTAATAGATCATATACATAATGAACATATGAAAATCAAATGAATAAGAAAAAGGTCAAAGCAAATGTTCTAAATAAAACTTTTCACAATATAAAAAGAACAAATTTTATTTTTTTAAAACTTGATTAGGAAACAAACAGTAAAAAATTCTTACTTGAAAAAAAAAATGGCAGATTCGACTACTCAACCAACAACTGTTGGCAAAAGATTATTTGATAATATATCTCTCCCTTTCACTTTACCAACTCGACTGCTACCATTAGTTAGTGTATTTGGTCAAAATCAACAACTTCAACGATCAGATCCTGTAACAGATCCAATACAGCAACAACCACTACTAACTCATAATAGTAAACATAATCAACATGAAACTCAGCAAAAACAATCCGTCAATGTCAACTCAAATTTTAACGTTCTTGATAATACTAGCGATAATATAAACATGAATAATTATGATTGTGATGATAATAATAATGACAACACCTTTATTATTCAATCAAACCAAACATCTCAGCCTATTCATAGAAAAAAACCATCAAATAGAATGAATAGAAAGAAAATTGATCAGGATGAAGAAGAAGATCATCAAGGAAATCATGAGTGTGCGTTGTATTTTTATTCCACTGCTATAGAGAACATGTTGAAGGCTATGCCAGGTAATAAATAATTATTTTTAAAAATTCTTTGTTAATTTAGCTAATCAATTAATCAATTATTAACCAATCAACAATCAAATTATAAAGTTCACATTAATCAATCAAGAAAAGATGCATTAAAAACTAATTTACGAGACGTCATTAGCCGTATTGGATTAACTGAAGAGATGATCAGTGAATTATCAGATTTGTTATCAAAAAATCAAAATATTTATCATAAATCTTTTGTTGATCCAGACTCTTTTAATAAACATCACTCGTCAAATTATAATAACAACAACAATAATGATATTAATAATTCTTCAAATGATGCTGGAATGTCAGATCATATAATCCAAGCTGCTATTACTGGTGCTGTTGCTTTAAAACAATCACCAATACCTGATGCCATCTCTGCTACTGTAAATTATACAATGAAAAAAATTAAAAATATTGATGAAGTTTATGGCTTACAGGATAAAGCTTGGGAAATTTCAAGGTCTGGTATAAATTTGGCTTTTGAGATTGATCAACAATATAATGTTCATGAAAAAGTTAGTAACATTTTATTCACTAGTATGGCTGCTGCTATAAAAGCTGGTATTGCTTATAAAAATTCTCCTTCATATAAAGAATTAAAACAATCGAAAACTGGACATCAGGCTGGGTAATAGTAATAACAATAGCAACAACAATAATATAGATTATTGTATTAGGATGGGTGTCCGGATACAAAACTCTGATTGGCTAATTTGTCACTTTTGTCAGTTAGAGTCATTGAAATGTATTGATAATATATATATATATATAATTTCTATTATTTTAACTTGTATTGCTTATATTTATATGATGCCCTACATTTTGCACAACCTTTAATCTATCTATTAACTTTATATTAATAACACCATAGGAATGAATGTCTAGAATAAACTTCTAGTCTCGGACAGTTGCCTATCAATGAATATGCCCTGAATTTGCTTTTGCTTAAAATTTATTTTTTTCAATAATTAAATTTATAATTATAATATTCTAACTTAATTGGTGATGGAATCAGCGAGATCTCCGAATTTGTATCTCCAACATAGAAAGTCTTTATTCACAACTGAGCGAACTTTTGCATTACACAACCACTTTGCCGTGCTACGAGAGAAAATTCATTTATTTTATTTTAACATCACGTCGACATCAAAGTTAAGTTGTGTTTGGATTGCATCTTCTTCATCGCAAAGAGCGAAAAAAAGACATCACTCAAGCCAAGACAATAGTCTATTTTATTAAATTCGAATCATATAAATAGGACAGCCATCCCCACATTTTTTTTTCGTAGAAAAATTCCCCTCAGGCCATTTCAACGCACAGAACTCAACCTTCTACATTCACTGTCCATTTTCAAGCAATCAAGATAAACTCAAGTTTACGAATGCGTACGCTACGTTTAAACCATGAAATCATTTATCTTTATACAACGAACGTTATACAAAATAGTCTAATTCATGAAAAAAATAAAATAAAATACCGCTTTATAATAACAAAAACACACGACCCAACCATTTACATATTAATATATAGTCACATATTCGTTCGGAGCATCGAAATTAGCCAATCACATTATCATTTATTCATTGGGCAAAAAATATTTAACGATTTAACATGAACAATAAAAAATTACATATGCGTAGAATCTAATAAATTTAAAAGGTTCTAAAAATGGACGTGGAAAAAACTTCTCGACGGATGTACATAATAATGAAAAGAAGCAGTTGAATATAAATGATTCGTGTGCAAAGAAACAAATGATAAAAAAAAAAAAAACTTAACGGATAGCCCTCTCATCCACACCAATTCCATTTCAACATCATCCATCCTATCCATCCATCCATCCATCACACCACTTAATAGAAAATAATAAAAATAATAAAAACTTAGTAATAAAAGAGCCATACACTGTCAAGATTGTTTTCGTGCAAGATTGATTGATGGCAATTTTATTTACATATTTATACAAAAATATTAAAAAATGTGTTTTTACCCAATCAGTGTTTCGCTGGAATTTGAATTAACCATTCAATTGTTTACGATCAAAATCTCGAGTTCTTATAGTAATCTGTTAGCAATCTTGGAAAAATGCAAAGAAGATGCTCTGTCGCCACAATTAAAAAACAGGAACTGGTCGTTCGTTGTTAAAAAACCCCCCTTGACCAAGACTTTTTTGAAAGTGTATAATTAGCGAATAATTTCTTATTGTTGTTAATAAGAAACCGACTAATAAACAAATAATAAATCAATTGTTTATTAATTAATTAAAAATGCATAATGATTTCTTAAAAGTAAGTACGATCCAAAAAAAACGGTACAAATGATAATGAATGATAATAATAGTAAAAATGTTATTTAGCATTTTTAGTTAAAAAATGATCAATTCAATTGCCAATTAGTCAGTAATATAATGATGCTTTTCTTATAAAAGTAAATAAACAAATCAACAATATGATCTTCATCACATTAACTAAATATTAAATGATTTATTTTATTTTTGCCAAATATGGTGAAAACGTTGATCGCGCCAAAAGCCGAAAAGGCCAAGAGCGGCTAAACGCAAATCGGCGAGAAACCTGCACGAAGGCCACGTGCTTTACTGATTTTGGAAGGTAGTCATGACACGGAAAATGTTTCGTTTCTTATTTGTGTTAATTAAAAATAATACAACCTTTTTGCGTAAAGAATTAATTGTCTATGATATATATTAAATGGGGCATACTGCAACAAAACCAGACAAAGTGAACATTGGTATTACCAACAATTTCAGGGATCAAAATTTAATATTAATGATGTAATTTAAACAATTTTATAATGCCTTTGATTTTTTCTTAAGTGATATATATATAATATAAGAATAATAATTTATTATTTTAATACAAGCAATTCTTTTTTTTCTTTCTCTATTTTAAATTATAATAAAAAAATTAATGAGTCAAGCATCTTAAATTTAGAAAGAATACAAATAATGCAACAATGACTACCTGTATTTTTTCTTTTCTATTTGGTGTATTAAATGTTGGGATCAAGTCAATGTCAACATTTGAAGTATGCAAATTGGTAACTGGTATATTATCCAATGATCTAATATGATTTATGTTTTGTTTTAATAACAAATTCAAATTATAGACTAATTTCAACAAATTTATAAATGTTAATTCAAAATGTTCTTCTCTGTATGGAATGTTGACTGTCATAAAATGTTTAACTCGATATAAAGGAAATATATTATAGTCCATAACAGGGTTGGCAAATGTGTGGTCCATTGGTGGTCTATTTGTGGTCCATTGGGTCCATTAGTGTAATACTTTAACCATATTTAGTATTTCATTAATGGCAATGGACCGGTCCAAAATCTATCTATTCCCAATGGACCAGTCAATTTGCCAACCCTGGTCCATAATATAAACATCTAAGGCTACATCTAAATAAAGCACTTTTATGTTAGTAATTGTAAATTTTTCAATTATTACTAATACATACATACCATGTCCATGTAAAAGAATTGTTTGGAAATTTAAAAAATCCTTTATGTCAAATGGTGACCTGGATGAAAAATATCTTACTAAATTACACCAAGAATCTTTAGCAAATTTACATAATCGTGTATAATCTCCATTTATGTGATCACAAACATTATTTTCAAAAGGTCCATAGCTTATCTCCCCAAAAAGGCACTCCCATGTGAAATTTTTTAGGGTGCTTTTATAGCATACATGAAGATCAGGGTGCTTGGAAGGACCATCTTTAGATCCATGTACCATTGCTTTCCTCTGAATCCCTATTATAATAAATAAAAGAACAGAATTAATTAATAAAAGTTGATAAGCAATTTCATTGTACCATTTGGATTCTCATGTTTATTTAAAAGGAATATTGTTTATTGTTGAAAAGATAAAATTTTTCTGCTCATATTCTTATATTCAATGTTTGTATAATACTGATATGCAATATGTCTATAATGCTTACCATTGATAGTACAATTCGTTTAAATTATGTAAAATAAATTTTTTAACATCATCTAGTGTGTCATGGCTCCAGGTACTTTCATAAATATAATTATCTTTTTTATATTGTTCTTTTAATTTTAAATCCATAAATGATTCACAGAGTTTTCTAGCAGCCCTATACAATCCAAATTCTTTTTCATTTAATTCTGATGGGATTTCATACCTTTGATTCAAAGAGATATATTTCATTACATATTCCAATAGGTCTGATGGGATTTCTGCCATATCTTCATTAGCAAGTAACAATTCATTCAATAAATTAACTTTAATTAAATGATCTTTAATTTTTGTGGGCATGCGAGTCAAATCAATAATTCCTGAAATAAACAATTCATCAATGCTTCTTAATGAACTTTCTTGGATCATTGTAACAATTTCTTTCACAATTAATGGGTAATTTTTATCATTAATCTGTTAAATATTAAAAGATATTTCCATACAAAATGAGCAAACAAATATAAATTAAAAATGAATTTAATATATGAGAAATCACCTTTTTTAATACACCAATTGATATCTCAATTTCATCAATTTCACTACTTTGATATTTCAATAACAAATTTTCATAACCAAGTTTTTTAACCATTTTTTCTATGTACATAGCAAAAAAAATATATTCATTTTTTTTGCTTTCTTTACCACCTCCCAAAATAATTGAACATCTATATTCTTTTCTTCAGTTTCAAAATCCTAATAATAGCAAGCAAATAAACAAATCAATATATTTTATTTCAAAATATGCAATGTCTTTAAAAATCATATTGATTTCATATCATGATGATATCCAATTATGAATTGGATCATATAAATTCATTCTTCAGGACCTTTAGATGCATCACATCAACATTAAAACAAAACTTTGGAAAACTCTCACCTTTTGTATTGGTTGTTTACTATCATGATCACATTTATAAATATTGTATAAATTAAATTTAAAATTATGATCCTTTATATTTACTGATGATGTTGCAATGGCATAAATTAAAAATCCAAATAAATTATAAGTTAAATTATTTTCTTCACAATATTTCCAATATGTATCGAGACAATCCCAATCAGTGTAATATTGACTATTTCTTTCTGTATATTCTGGTATATCATTATTATCATAATAGTATTCAATGTAAAATATAAAATTAACTGAATCAATTAATACAAGTAATATAAAATTATATATATGTACCTGTACCCAATTTCCTTTTAAGATTATTTACCAATTTGCATACTTCAAATGTTGACATTGACTTGATCCCAACATTTAATACACCAAATAGAAAAGAAAAAATACAGGTAGTCATTGTTGCATTATTTGTATTCTTTCTAAATTTAAGATGCTTGACTCATTAATTTTTTTATTATAATTTAAAATAGAGAAAGAAAAAAAAGAATTGCTTGTATTAAAATAATAAATTATTATTCTTATATTATATATATATCACTTAAGAAAAAATCAAAGGCATTATAAAATTGTTTAAATTACATCATTAATATTAAATTTTGATCCCTGAAATTGTTGGTAATACCAATGTTCACTTTGTCTGGTTTTGTTGCAGTATGCCCCAAATCACAAAATATTGCTTAGTCCTACAATTCGGGAGTTAATAATAATGTTGTGCGTGAAAATTCACGCGGGTGAAATTCAAATTAGCCAATCAGAATTTTGTATTCAAACACCAACCCCAAAGTTTAATCAATATTAAATATTAATAAATTTCAAATTGACGCAAATTTGATTTTCACGCACAACAATAATAAAGGCTCTCGCCATTTTATAATATGTTTTTATTTAGCCAATCAACAATGCTGATTGATGAAAATGGTTTAAAATCTTTTTGGTTATGCCAATCACGTGAATTATATTTTATAATTGGTATTTTGAAATTTGGTGGCGTAGCGTGGTTCCTGAATTCTGTCAATTAAATAACTGGTTCAAAAATTAAATAACCAGTTCAAACATAAAATCACATGATTAATTTATGGTTTTACAAATGACATTCTATAGCCAAATTTAGATAGCACATTCGAATTGGCTTTTAGGCTGTTCCTTTGTGCGCTGAATTGATGAATGTTTAAACCAAGATATAAATAAATGCTGTTTGTTTCATAATTCAAGTTAAAGTCGTCATTAACTCTGCAATGAGCCTTGCATACCGGTTGGTTGGTTAAATAACTTTTCGACAAAGTTCAAATGACCAACAAGCATCTGTTAACTAATTAACAGTTATTTAACCAATTAACGAACGGTTCAGATAGTTCAAAAGAAGATTTGAACCAATTAAATTGCCAACACTGGTCATTAGGCGCATATATATAAAATGAAACTTTTTTGTGCAGCATGTTTTAAATATTCGAAAATTACACAAATTGAGATATTAGGAAACAATGGATGATGATGAAACAACAAAGAACTATTTACATATTAAGTTTAGTTTTAAAAAATCCAAAAAGAGGAGGTGCAAGTAATTTTATTTCTACTACGTTCCATGATTCTATATACAACAGTTAGGAATTGGAAATTGGAAAATGTGTTCCTAATAATAAATAAAGAAATTAATTTCTTTGTTCTTTAATTAATAATAATAATAAAGTAATAAATATAAACAATTGACGATGTTTGGATTCAATAGATAGTGTAAGTAGTATCTATGACACAAAAATACAAAAGCGTGTGTTCCAATGTTTTTCCGGAACTGTAAATAAACTTTATATATAAACGATTTTTCTCAGCAAAAAAAATAAATTTCACCCTATTACTTACTATTTATTTTTTATTTTTTTTTTTTCGAATTTCATTTTTGTATTACACATTTGAAACGTAATCAATTAAACAATCGTAAACTATCATCAATTACATCAATTCGATTATATTGTTTCTATAAATAAAAATTTTCTTTTATCCTAAAATTTTTCTTATTTTTCTTCTTTATTTTATTTTTGTATAGTTATAAAAAAATTTTTTATTATTTAAAAAAATGTCATCATCATCATATATCAATAATACACGTCGTCGTTCTACACCTTCGGTTTTCATTGATTCCATTAGTGAAGAAGACATAAAATTACTTTTATCTTCAAAAACTCCAAATATTATTTCAAAACGTCGTGGATCGGCTGTTTCTATTAACTCTATAACATCAACTACAAGAAGAAGTTCAATTGTAATGATAGATTCAACCACAATAAAATTATCCAATAGTAATAACGATAGTAATAAATCAATGATAAATAAAATTAAAGCAAATGCTAAATTAACGACAACGACATTATTATTACCAATGGAAATCAATGATTCATTTCAAGATTTTACCAAGTTTAACGATTTTTATTTTCAAACATCATCAACTTCCTCATCGTTATCATCTCAACCAAAACATCCTTTATCAATAAAGGAAAATAACTACCATAAAAATAACAATTCATCATCATCTATTTCATCTACATCATCATCTACATCATCCTTATCATCATCAATTAATATCAGCAGCAATCTTCATTATAACACTCATTCCGAATATAAACATCGTACAAAATTAACATCACAAAAACTATTAAATTTCTTTGGTGCAAAACCTCCAATTGACATTTGTGTAAGAGAAATAGAAAAAGAAGGATTGAAAGCGATTTTAAATTCCAAAATACCATTATTTTATTTCTTGTATTCATTATTGGAAGAATATTCGTCAGAAAATCTATTTTTTTTCCTAAAAGTTGAACAATATGAATCAAAACAATATGATAACTCAACGCAACAATTGGTAATGGCTCAACAAATTTTTGACACATATTTAACAAGAAATTCACAGTTTGAAGTGAATATAGATGACAGAGTACGTAAATTAACAATTGCAGCAATAAAATCTGAGCGTGATTTAAGATATTGTTTTCGTGATGCTAAACAAGCAGTATTTATATTATTAGAGAGTAGTTTCTGTAGATTCATTAGAAGTGATCTAGCTGATACTATGAGGAAAGAAATTGGCGAACATACTGCTCATTATTCTAATGAAGCTCGGGAACTTTCTGTTGGTTGGCTATTTAAATATCTAGAAAAACTTGGCCCCATTGATGTAAATGGTTATGTTACTGAACATTTTAATAATCTTGGTAACAACAATAATAATACTAGTTATAATAATTCAACATCAACATCAACAAATTTTCTTGTACAAAAATTTTATAAATCAATTCATAGTAATGATCATAACCAGTCTCTACCAACATCACCTACTTTTTCAATATCACGTAAGAGAAATCTAATGATAAGAGATATGACATTGGAATTTATTAAAAATTTATTGGAAATTAGCATTGAAGAATTATTTTATTATGAATTTCTACATAATAATAATTCAAATAAGAATAATACCAGTACCAATACCAATACCAATTATATAATAAATACCAGCAACCAAAATAATATTAGCAATAACACATTACAAAATTATCTAACACCAGAAATTGGTATTAAGAATTTTCCAAATATTATTATTGATAACAGTAACAATCAAGAATTTAATCAAGTTTTTGATTATGAGGGTTGGGAAATCGATAATAATAATAGTAATAGTAATCATTATAGGAGTAGTTACTTGGGATCAGAGAGAAACAACAGCAACGGTAATATTAACGGTGGTGGAAATGGAAAGAAACAGGAATTAAAGTATAAAAAGAGTGCAAAGGATTTAAAAGATCATTTAATAAGAAACTTTGGATCAAAAAAATCAAATTTAATTGGATAATGATCACAAACGAAAAATTTACACTTTTTGTATCAATAATTTCCATAGAGAAAAAAAATTTTTCAATCTTGTATATTTTATATATAGAAAAAATTGTTACTAAAACAAATTATTTTTTTATTATTGTACATATTGTAGATTAGATATGTTTCTTTATTGATGTTCTTCTTTATTAAT